TTAATTCTTCTTGAATATGATTCTATGAGAGCAACAAAGAAAAAAGAGAATGAGTTTTTACTCACGGGATCACCATGTCGACCACACCTGTTGGGAGCTGCCGTAATAAGGGTCGTAGCCAATAGGAAGACGAAAATGAGCATTGTAAACTTCGACATTTTGTAGAGTATTTATTCTCTGAAAGATGAATTATTATCAATTTAAATTATAAAATAAAAATAATTCGGAAGGTAGAGGAAAAAAGCATTTAATAACCATGTACTTATTTTTAAATGAAAATCACGTGGACTTATAGAAAAATTTATATGGAATTGATAAATATTTATATAGAGAAACCTGAGGTGAATACTGAATACTACATTAACATTTTTACATTTATTTCCCCTCTAAATCTGTAAAAATCATGAACCTTGAAAATGTATGATATTCGAGTGATAAACAATGTAAATACCGAAATGAACATAGTAATATTTCAATCCTACTGAAACTTCTCATTTCTGGCACTTGCATCGTTTAACACTTAAACACCTTAATTACACAATTCCCGTATGTCTTATCACACACGACCATTTCCACTCCGGTAATCAACTTGTGAACTAAATTCAATTGTTTCGTTTCGAGTCCGCGAAAAGTATGCCTGTACAAAGATCAATCTCGGATTCATGAGATTCCAGCTCATTACGCAAGCTAACGAACACACGGTGGGATTTTGCATGAGTAGAACGTACACAGGTGTCCGTGAATGAGTCATTAACTACTGACCTGACTCGTTCCTGAATAGCCGACAGAGTGACTAAAGTGTACGGTCACGGCCAACCATGTACGGCATCAATCTACTTCATCAAGTGGTTGTCACGTATTTATCGCGACGGAATTCTTTATATTTTCGTAAAAGGTAATCGCGTAAACTGACGAACAAAATAATTGGAACAGCTGATTCATAAAATTAAAACAATTAACTCTGTCAAACTGACAACATTCAACTTTTTTATTTAAATTGCTAGAATGTTAAAACGATATTGTTTATAAAAAAGGGGGGATAGTGTTGCAATGATGAATTTATGACAAAAAATTTTGATCTCATCGTACAGTGAAAAATAATGCATAGAAAATAATAGTGATTTTATAAGTTGGTACATTAATGAAGTTTATCATGCTAAAATGACAGCAATATGTATCAGAAGCGTTCAAGGTTCACCGTACAGCTGAGTCACTACATTAACAAATGTTTACTTGAAAATTGTTCATGGAAATTTTCTTATCTCCAGAAAATGTTGGAAAAATTGAACGATAAAAGCATACGTTTTAGAAACATCGAAATATTTCTGCATCATTTTCTGTTTGTACGAGTTTATTAAACGATCAAATACATATTCAGCGTCGCACAAACGTATAAAACCATATAATCGATCGATCGATCGATTAAACACGCGATCACTGTCGAGTTTAAACCGCCAACGAATTAATTCCTGTCACTTTTCTTTACTCCACGTGAAATGAAATTTCGGAGTAACTTCGTAAATGTCCTTCAGCCGAGAAACTACGTGAATTTTACTCACCAGAAGAGACTTTCAAAGCAACACTGGATATACTTTTTCTTAACAGCGACCGTCTCAACAGTTCGACCTTAACTGATTTCTCAACTTGCCGTATACTACGCTTTTATACCGCAACGTCGTCGTCACGTCGACCAGCCTTTAAGTATTCATCTACATATTCATGGACGCGCGTGTGTGTGTATTTAAAAGAGTACAAGAGGAAATTGCAAGAAATGTTATACTTCCCACACACGTAACTCGCGTTTAAGGAACACGCATAAGATTAATCTTGTCTTTTGTTACATCGCGCGTTGATTTCCGCGAAATTAAATCAGCAGATTAGACTCGCGATGATTTTCCAATGTTTTTCTTTGTCACTTGAACTGTTGTGATATCTTAGTCAAGTTTCCTAGGATTTACTTTGTTTTAGTAGAATTATTATAGGAAATTGAAATACATTTTTATTTTTCAGCTGTTATTTACCAATTTTATATCTTTTAATTTTTCACGAAATTGTACTTGACAAAAGTGATGAAAGGTTCGATCTTTGTACCCGAATTTTCCCATTTCTGACTGGTGCACGTATATCCTTCTTTTTCCTTGTTTTAACAAAAAACATGAAAGAAGTTCGGTCCATTGAATTACAGTAACTGCAGATTGTTCTGGGTCTGGTATTCAACTCTGCAGAATAATACCTTCGAGGCGCGTATCTCTACAAATTCGGAGAAAGCCCGAAACCTAACGCACTCTTTTCCTCCCAATTATAATTCGTTCCAATTATACCCTAAACTGTATAACAATTGAAAAGAGTCAGCCACCGCGAACATTCCTTTTTCATTCGCTGGTTATAAAATGGCCGTGCCACGGTTTTTGCCTTCTGCACCAATATTCCATCGGCTGCATATTGCCTGGCTTCATACATTCCATTGATCTCTCGACAAAGCCCTCTTGTTCTTTAATTCGCTTAATAGGAAACAACAGGAAAGAAAACCGAATCATCCGGTAATATTGTCCCTTTATACGTAGACGGCAGCCAAGTGAAAACGTCGATTATTCTTTCATGACGTTTGTTTTTTTGTGTTTCTTTTTTTTATTTTAACGTCACTGTAACTGTTTGCAGTCTACCGTGAATCGAAATCTTTTCACTGCTTTTGGAAATATATAGCAAAGGGACAGGGCTATTTTTGTAATATTTGTATTTTCAGTGTAAATGTGTGCCGACGTCTTTTTTATTTATTTAACAAGTTGGTTCACCAGGTTCATCGAAAACATATCTTTAATTAAACAAACTTTTCAGTAGAATTTTAACCCTTTAGAGACAAGGATTTTTGGATACTGGATACTCTGTGTAGTTTTAGTCAGGACTGGATTAAGATTGTTGCGGCTACGAGGCTATTAACCCCTTCAGGGCACCATTGGTTAATGAATTAATAAACTTGTCTCAAAAATTGAAATTTATTCTAAATAAAGTCACATGACAAAATCATTTGAATATTTCTGTCGCGTACATAAAATAAGTGTTCTTTATTTTCAGTTCTTCAATTATAGCCGTGTTCTTAAACGAAGTAACCTTGGGAGGTTTCGCAATTGGTATCTTTAGAAGTATGGGATAGAAACTTACTAATTAAAAAATTCTTAAAGAAATTCAAACCATACTGATAACATTTTTATTGTTCTTTTATGTAGCATAGTTTGGAAATATAGTTATATGAATGCTTTTATTTGATTGCAATGTATGTAGTCCATTTTTATTGACATCGAAGTCTTGCAAGAGAACTTTAAAAAAATTATATGTGACTTTAATTAATTGGATATCCTGGTGGAAATGGTCCATTTCCAATGGGCCTTGTATCTTCTCCGGGAACAATAACTCCTTCTTTTGGCACGCAACGAGCTTCGTATGTGGGACATAAAAGGTAGCGGCAACAATCTTCATAGGCATGACACTGAAACAGACATGTGTAGAATTAATAGTTTTTCACAAGATTCTTATATTAAACGTTCAATTTTATTAAATTGTTAATTCCTAATTACGTATCTTTTCTATTATACTCAAAAAAATTATAGTCAGAGACTTACTATTCCTTTCCACGGAACACAAGTTGCATTATTCGATGAACTTGATGAAACAGTAGTAAAGGCTAATAGTATAACCAGAAAAAGGCTAAGAAATCCCATTTTGAAGATATTCAAGCTGTAATAATAAATTTCCGATGCAATATATGTAAAATAAGGGAGAATAATTATCGCGATTAATTAATAGAGCAAGAAGAGGATAATCGTTAACAGAGGATAATCCTTATTTATAATTTGTAAATGATTCATTAATTACTTAGACTTCTATTGAAAGGTGTAATAGAAAACGTAGTAGGAACATTGTAAAATGCAAACTTTTCTCATATTCTGCGTTGAATTCTGTCTGATTGCGTATCGCTCGTAAAAATTCACCATTACGTTCGTTTCAACTGTTATACTTGTACCGTAGAAAATGCCGAGTAAAATTGAAATATTGCTTCTATCACATACACCCGGCTCAGCAGGTTCTGCTATTGCTCTTAAAAAATTTAATAATTATATTGCATGGAACAGGGATTCAATAGGTTCAGAATGTATGAAACGATAAAGTAGACATAGCGTACATTTAAAATCCCTTGCTGAATGAAACATTTGTTTAAATCGTTTTCCTTCAACTCGACATTTCCTGACAATTTTTTCGTTCAGCTAATAATGGTACAATTTTCAAATGAAACTTAACATGAGAGAGAAATAATCTCAAATAAAAGAGAAATCAAATTGTAAATTTTCTGGACGATCTTGAAAAACCTTTCAAATCATAAATTTAAGAAAAATTTGCATTTGTAAAATTATTTTGGTTACATGATAAGCAGTTATGAAATTTATAAAATATCAATACGAATATGTATAGTGTTTTTATAAAAAGTTGTAAAATATTGAAATTGAAATACAGACTTTTTTCCAGAGCTTCCACAGTCAATGCACCATCGACACTGTCTTCAATAAATAGGTTTCATGGATTTATACGTGTACGTTATCGTAAAATATCATTGCTTATTGACACAAAGAAAATAAAGTTTCTCAGTATCAATATGTATATAAGTATAATAGATATCTTTGTTGTGGCCTTTGAATTAAAAAATAACAATAATAAAGGTTAGTTACCTATCTGTGTAAATTAAAATATAATCATTTATTAAATTAACAGCAATAATTCTCTGCTAATTTTAAGTCATTTATGATTTTTGTTACATTGTTTGTCTCTCTTCAATAATGAAATTATGTTCGAAATTTATATTTAAACAAAGTGACTGTCCCTTCTAACAACTTATTAAGTAATAATTAAAACTTTATTAAAAATTATTATTTTTAAACAATACGATTTAATAGAACAGAACAATAATAGGAATGATAAGGGATAGCGAATGAAAAAAATGTCTAGAATAGTATATTATATTTATTTACGTATTAATTAATGTATATTATTTTTACATTGAATTTCAGAATCCTAGTAAAGTAAGGTAATTGCAATTTAATTAGTAGGCCTACGAATTAATATCCACATTAATCAGTTCATTCTTCATTTTTGTTTTTCATTGGTTGGAACTTCGGAATTTCCTGGCAGATTCGTCGATGATGGGGTCATTTTCTTGGTGCAACGACCAGCCCATGGATTACATATTAATGGTCCACAGCAATCACTATCGTCGGTACACTAAGGACAAAATGCATACCATGTATAAATATTTAGATTTAATTGAATTATTTGATTACAACATTTAATCAAAGAGCACTATGATTTTATTAGAATAAATTTTACTGCTTCTAATTAAATATTTTTAAGAATCTCAGCTTTTGACTCGAGCTCCGCAATTTCTAAAGACCCATTCCCTCGTACAGTAATAAATAAATAATATAAATAATGAAATTTACTTACAGGCAAACCTGGTGGCTTGCAACCCATGACGAAGGAAACAGCCAGAAGTACGAGACACAAGATTGTAAAAATGATCTTCATCTTCGTTATTTATTTCGTTAAGGCAGAAACTAAGAAATATATATTTCAGTATGTAATATTATTAATTATAAAGTTTGTAATTAATTTCAGAGCTCACCTTTACTTTACTTCGTTGGAGACTGGGATATACTGATTCTTCTAGCAAAGACTTCGGTATTTATAGGGTGAACAGACAGGGATACGATAATGAATTTTTCCGATCTGAAGGTCTATTGTATACCTTGATGATTCTTAAGGCTATAACATTATTTGTAATCGATATTACACACATATTATTGCAGGTTTATCAGAGTTTGTCGGCCAGGTAAACACTGCAGGGAATATCGGGATAAACATATTACGTAAAGTATCGTGTTTTTGCAGAAATTCAGAGAAAAGATCAAACCCCCTGTCGTATTTTATCTTGATAGAGGAATTGTTTTTCCTAAGAATAGCCTTAAAAAAATAATAAAACTGTAGATGTTGTTTTCCACGACCTCCTATTGTTTGAAGTGTTTCAAATGTACCCATTAGTTTAGAAAATTCTATTCTTTTTTTTAGCTCTGTAATTTTATGTTGATTAGTATCAGAATTTTGTATTATTTTATAAAATAAAAAAAAATTAATTTCGATATATCGATCCCTGTATACTAAAAAATAAGAAGCTACTTCTTTTGAAACAATAATAATAATAGGTATAACGTCATCTCCCAAAATCATGAAAAATAATTTTTATCAAAAACGCTAAGTTTCCCGCCTGACTTTCAAACCACGGGCCCACGCCATGGGACCGTCTGAAGTTGGCGCTGTAGTCGATACTCGATAGCCAATAATAAGAACCGGTAGCGTCTATCGCGTGTTCACCGCGCAGTTGTTGTGTTTACTTTTACTGACTCGTTTCGTGAGACGGATTATAGTTCCCGAAATGTAAATTTGTTCGGCTATGTTGATAGTTTACATTCCTTCGATTCGTAAGACGATTGAAAGCCAGTCCTGAAGGAACAGCCGAGGAGAACGGTTCGCGTGATTTGTGTTCGTAAGAAGGACGCGTTGTCGTAATCATCGCACGGTAAGCCTAATGAATTGTGACTCTTGGACGTACGAAATATTTGCAAGTGTTTTCATTAAAATAACGCGTCAAGTTTTAAGCTATTGTTACTAATTATTCGTGGTTTCGATCGCGATTGTATTTAATACATGTACTAACATTTCGAAAACTATCGCGTCCTCTACACGGTTTCGACGGATTTGATAAGTGCTCGTGACAAAACTACACATGGAGGTTAAACAACAGTTACTTACTCAAGTAAGACTTTCTTTAATTGTTCATTCTTTTGTTGCATGGTTTTATTATGTCTCATACGGCTACACTGTAATTAACATATTGAAATGAACATATACATACATAATAACAACATGGCCGTCCCTAGTAGCGACCTCTACGTCTCTATACGTGCATATACATGCGTCGTGAATATTTTTAATAATTTCTGTATAATAAGATGTTTTATAATAGGAATTAGTAACACATCATTAATACAAATTTAGGTTATGTCGTTGTGAATAGGTTACTAGTATAACGATAATGATATTCAAAATTTCTATTCTATATTTTTGTATTTTTTATTATTCAGTTATATTTCCTTAGACTTGTATAAAATTTTGAACAATATTAACTTAGCAAAAATCACTCCAACGTTACTTAAGTATACTAATATATTTCATTTAATTTAATTACATTTGATAAATGGTATCGAGTTTGTGAATAAATTATAGAAGATTATACAATCTTAAAAATTATATTTTTCAAAAAGGTATATTAGTATAAATATTCTAATCAATTTGTATAACGTATTCACAAAGATCGATCGCTTTATTTTAGAATCATTTTACCAATTGCAATAGTTTCTCGAAAAATTCCTGGTTGAAAAATGTTCGTCTGGTTAACACACATCAAGTAACAATTACAAAACAATCTCCATAGTTTGTATCGTGATTTCGCGTTAACAGTAATCATCAATTAGATTTTTTCCACGGTATATTGGCAATAATTGACGTAACACGGGTGTAATATTTCAAAACACCAGCCGTGTAATGCGTTTGCATCTCGTTCGACCTATCAAAACCGCCCTCTAAATTGATTCAATTGTCGTTTCCCGAGGGAAAGCGATCTCTTCGTCGAGATATTTTTGGGAATCCAGTGAAACCGTCGACCGCGATTGCTATTACCTTTTTTTGTTTTCAATCCACCCGGTTGAACTTTCCTCGAAGCTAAAAATTATTGTCAAACACACGAAATGATAACAACGTATACGATCCATATGGAAAAGTGAAAAGCTCTCGGTGAAATTTTCCAGGTATATATATATTATAATATGGAAAGTGGGAAACAGTTCGATCGCGTGTTTAACGTAAACACGATGTTATTATAAAATGTATGCAACCGGGTCTCCGTTAACCGCGAATAATATTTCTCTCTGACTGATGAACACGCTCGATCAAGTGCATCATTGCTTGCAATTTAATACAATGAAGACAATTAAAACATTTATCGAGCGCGGTTTTGATAATCGGCAAACAAACGAGCGACCAATCATTTCATCAGAGCGATAATTAAACACCCGTTCCCGATTAATTCATTGCATTCGAAAGAAGATCAAGCCCTCCTGTTGCTTCGAATGTTCGTTTAATCATTACAAGCTTTTCTCGATGATTTTTTCATAGAGACAATCAGATAGGCTTGTTAAACTTTGAATAATAGAGTCTAGATCAATCGAGACTTAAGATATTTACTTATTGAAGGCTTTCGGCGTGGTCCGCCGCCCAATAGTTAACTTCTTAAACATATATGACGAAATATTTCTAAGATATGCCCTGTACTGAAAGATACAAGATAATTACATTCCAAATTTTAACAGGCAGTAAAAAATCCTTCGTTTAAGAAGTTATTTTCAGCATAGTAGCGTGTTCTATGGATGCTGTGTGTTGTATATCGAATCCAGAAGAACAGTATAAAATATGTTATTCGTAGATCGAGGTGACAGCTATCAATTCCAGGGTCAATTTCGAAGAAGCGATAAAGTGGCCATGTGATATCTGTTCTGAGAACGGTACCGAGCTCTTTTTATTGAAAAATTGTTGAATGTACCAGGCAGGAATTGTTTTTCCACGATATGATTTTTAAGATTATCGAATTCTCGTAAATCCATTTTTTTGACATCGTTACCATGTCAGTAATGTCGCCTAGCTGCCTTATCAGTGTCTAGCCCCTTCAGCGAGATACTTGTTGCGTGTATCGTAACTGAATTAACTTCGCCTTTAAGACGATGTCTGTATTAGAATCGCGTGACAAAGGGGGGTGTTTGCAGCTTTAGGCACGCACATCCGATTTGCATTTCCGGGCTAACGAGAATTTTCCGGTGCACGTGTCGTTTAACCCCAAGGAAACTATTATGCACGTTCTTATCACGAGTAAAAATTGCACCGTTACACAAATCATTTGCCATTTACCATTACACTGGAACTCGCATGATCTCTTCAAAATCACAGCTAATATTCATATTACAGTAGTCTCTCGTTATATTGCCGCGGTGAGGATACAAATTTTTTAAGCTTCCAAACTCTAATTAACTAATCATTTACAATTTTTACATTTACCATTACCCTGGAAGTCGTACGCTCTCTCCAAAATTACAGCTAATATTAATATTACAGTAGTCTCTCGTTATATTGCCGCGGTGAGGATACAAATTTTTTAAGCTTCCAAACTCTAATTAACTAATCATTTACAATTTTTACATTTACCATTACCCTGGAAGTCGTACGCTCTCTCCAAAATTACAGCTAATATTAATATTACAGTAGTCTCTCGTTATATTGCCGCGGTGAGGATACAAATTTTTTAAGCTTCCAAACTCTAATTAACTAATCATTTACAATTTTTACATTTACCATTACCCTGGAAGTCGTACGCTCTCTCCAAAATTACAGCTAATATTAATATTACAGTAGTCTCTCGTTATATTGCCGCGATGAGAATAAAAAATTTTTAAGCTTCTAAACTCTAATTAACTAATCGTTTACCAATACCAATATCAACATAATTGACATAAACATCATAATTGATAGTAGTTATTAATAAATAACTAGTATGTTATTTAAACAACTTAATCATTGAGAAAACCCAACGAAACTATTTGTTTACACGAAATTTATTATCAGCAATTCCAAGGAATTCAGATCGACCTGAGTTTACGTGGAATCGTGGATTTTATCCTCAATTACGAAATCTTAGCAAACGATAAGAGTACCGTAAATACCGATTTCTTAGAAAACTATGCAACAACGGTGTTATTGCTTTTGCTATTGTTCGCCTCGAGTGTTTACAACTACCAGTTTCCCTCCCACTTTCTTTATCGACCGATTACCTTATCTGACGACGAAATGCTCCCCGGGGTTCGCGTGCTTCCTAGTCACTTAAGTGATAAATTTTCCCTGTTAACGTCGAGCTGTCTTTAGCGGTTTTGCCCAGTAGGATCTATTGCTCCCTTAGTTAGCGATCCTACGCCACTTAGCTTCGACCATCGTCTTCTACTTGTGTCCTTCGCTACTGGTTGTTCCATAATTAAAGGTGTAGTGATATCCAAGATATAGTGAAATTCATAGAAATAGTGAAAATATTTGAACAAACGTAGATTAAATAATCACTAGCTTCTGTTTCGATTCCGCTTCTCGTCTTCGTCTTGAATTTCCCATTTCTGTTTCGCGACCACATCCCCCTGACCCCTCTCTTCCAAATCGAGCCATATCACTGTCCACCTCTCTTTCCGTTGGAAAATCCTCGCTGAACTGCTCTCTATCCAACGTTCTGGCCGGTTCTCTCTTGTCTCGGCTGAAGTGCCGGACAATTTGATAATTGGATCTGCGGCAACCCCGTGATTTACGTGCACGAGGGTCCAGCTGACCATTCGAGCAGGGGGCACGCGGATGCATCCACCCCTTGAACCGGCAAAGTGGAGACGATCGCGGTGGAGAGACGCGTCTTCTCTCGCGAATTAACTAAAACTATGCTGCTAGAATGGCTAGACGTTGTTTTACGGTCCCACGCAATTCCGATGATAGGACGAATTACCAGGACACATGTGTTTACGTAATTGTCTATTCGGTCTGTTAGTTTGAGAAGAAATTCACCTCCTTAGCTGGGTTACACTAGAACTACCAAAGGGGTTGAAACGACAAGATTCAAGTTTCTTAATTTA